ACATAGAAGAGGGTCTTTACTACCTATGTAACGTGCACAGAAAAGATTCGGTCAGGGCTTGACGAGCGAACAAAAGGCTCATAAGATGAAGACCGGCCCCGCCGCGGATCACTCCCGCAACTCCATTTCTTGGGACGGTTAAGTAGGATGAGCATCCCCACCAATCCCCCATCATCCCCATATGAAGAATACTTCTGTGGGGATACTCAAACCGAGACGAAGGATGAAGTCGTAATAAACAACGTGATGAATACATAGCTTCCATCAGATCCCGCATGTTCAACATCATACCAAGTTAAAGAACTGCTTACCACTCAGCCACTATGTAGTGTATAGGATAAATAGAGTGCTGATCGACATCACGCCAGGTCCCCCTTTTCTCTATCCGCAACCTCAAGTTGCTATGTATGTACGAAATCAATTTTGAAAATTCATTCATTACATAGGTGGATGACGCTGGGATAACCCATGTTATCCTTCACATGGCGCAAACTTTCACTGCCATAGCATAGCAGATGTAGAAGCGTATTTTCGTCAATACGAGAAGCCGGGCTAAAGCACATATTTTCATGACAAGCAAACCCGAGTGGGATTTGCAAGGCAGAAAAGATTGGGTCGATTATTTACCAGTACCGCTGACGGTCGACCATTCTGTAGCTTCGACGCAATCACGCAAGGAATGAACCCCTTTATCTGAGATCGTTGTTCTCTCCCTTGCTTGCTTGCGTGGCTGCCGATGCGACAATGGCCCACCAACGTCCCAAGAACACGTTGCGGGCGAAGAAAAATGCCTACCTACCTACCTTACTTACTACCTCGTCGGCCTTAACGACCACAGCACTTCCCGGCCTCTCGCTCCTAAGAAGATGCCGTTTTGGGCCCTGACGAGGATACATCATACCACACTCGAAACCCTAATCTTGAAACTGTCTTGGGTCGAGTCCTACATACGATTCACATGCAGTCCGGGCTCGGAGGTGATCAACAACAGATCAGCGACGCCGGGTTTGCTCGCCCCCACGCGGCGCAAAAACGGCTCGGAGACCTGGAGGCTGTCTAGCGTTACATATTAATGAATAGAGGAATGGCAATCCCGGCCTTTCCACATGGCAGCATGTATGTATGTGTGTATGTATGTATGTATATGTATGTGCAATGTAGCACCTACATACAGCGACAACACTACCTAAATTAAGGTCCCCAATATACCGTCAACTAAGACCCGGGCCTCCTAATTTTAGGGGGTATAACAGGCGACGGAAAGCATAACGATGATCTAATGACTTCATGACAGGTAGTTACTACGGTATGTAAGCTTAGGTACCTAAGGCACAATGTGACCAGCGCATATATATACATATAGCCCGAATTGTGACCACAGGCCAACAAAGCCAACATCATCGCCGTAAGATGGCACGGTGGAAGCAATCGCGACACATCAGCCATCATCATCATCTCACCAATTTTATCATTACGTATATTACAACTTACCTGAGCTTTGTGCTATATTGGCCGCGCAATTATTTCGTTTACGTTGACCGCTCTTCCGCCTCCCTATCCGCATCCGCGGGCTGGGAAAAATAATGATAATCATTATCACGTATCGATCAAGGCGCAAGGGCACGGTTGTACATATGTATATAGTAATTAACGTGACGCGCAATAGGGCACACACTCAATTCCTAGAAATAACAATTCGGGGTTTGGAAAGTAACAAGCCATTCAAATCACAGTTACATATACCCAGCGAGAAATCGACGCGCCAACTATAATTAAATTACAAACTTCAAAAATACCTAGTCGATCCGTCAGCTCGCGCAGATGCGCCACGATCGATGAGTTACCTCCTATGTAGAGCAAGCCAGCAAGCCAGCAAGCCTCGCATGCAAGGTACATATCCAGACACGGGCCGACGGTCTAGGCCATATAGGCGGTCAGCAATGCCATCTAAATTTTCAAAAAAAGGGAAGACGTCGTCCAGACAAAGGAGTAGAACATAAGACAGCATAAGCATAGCATTAGTCATTCTCATCCGAGACATCTTCGCAGCCTACAAAGACTATGTAGGTATTACTCATCATTGCTCATAAGTTATGTATTCAGACCGGCCTCACTACGCCGCTACATGCAATGTCAAGGTAATAGACCAGCCGTCTCGTCCAGCGCCTTGTTTAATAATTCCGTCGCGATGGGGTCTTGGGGGTGGATGGCGAGCGCCTGGTGCAGCACTTCGACAGCCAGGTCGAACTTCCCTCCTTGTTCCATGTATATCAAGCCCTTCGCCGCGAATATGGACGCGTCTTTGCCGCCCTGCCTCAAGACCTCGTCGAACTGGTCTAGTGCCTCGTCGTAGCGCTTGGCGCGACGGTATGCGTGTGCCAGATTAATGCGTGCTGAGATCCAAGCATTAGGTTCCGAGTCGATATCCTCTGCGACTTCGAGAGCCTTCAGGAAGAGCGTAGCAGCGTCCTGAGGTCGGTCTTGGTGGTAATAAACGACACCCATCTCATTAAGCAACAACGGGTCCGTCTTGCAGAGGCCGTACGCCGTCTTGAGGAATTCGTCGGCCAGAGTCATGTTATTGAGCGCGTGGTTCTGCATCCCCAGGAAGACCTGGGGCAGATGCGTACCCATAAACAGTCGGGCCGCCGTGGAGTACGCCGATATAGCCTGGTCGTGCTCGCCCTCGGCCGCAAATGTGTGCGCGAATCCGATCCAGGCCGGCCCGAAGTGCGGATCCATCATGCTAGCTTTACTAAAGTAGCGCCTGGCTTCGGCGATCTTGTCGATGGCGAAGTAGTAAATACCAACGGCGAGCCATGTGCAGGGTTCTTCCGGATGTGTGTCAGCGAGGTCATGCGAGATCAGGAAGAGTACGTTTTTCATCCTGAGTTCGTACAGGCAAGCTAAGTGTAAGGGATATATGCTGAAATTGTATTTGTCTTCTTGAAGCACAGACTCGGTAATTGCGAGCGCATCTTTGTATCTGCATTGAGTGTACAATAAATCTGCTCGGGCAAGTAGTAGGTCAGGGTTTGAGGCGAGGTTATAATGCGTAGATAGAGTCTCGCAAGCAGTTGTGAAGGATGCTGGGTTCCTGTACTTGGAGAGTCGGGTGGTGTAGAGCATCTTCGTAAATTCGGCAGCCTCCTGCGAGGAAGATGAGTCTCCAGAGACGTTAATAGCATCGAAATCCAGAGACTCCAAAAACTGCCATTCCTCGTCGGGAGACATAAGTGAGTTCTTCATTAGCTGTTGAAATGCCTCGAAGCATTGGACGTCGATGCGAACAGCATCTTTGTAACACTCCTTCGCCCGATCGAATGCGTTCTGCTTAGCATAGCATATGCCTCGTAGAAAGCACATGGCGGCTTCGAAGCGCTTGTTAGCTGCTTCTTCCTCTGATAGCCCATCTCTGCGCTCGTGCGCTTTGATGGCGCCTCTTCCATGGTGAGAGGCAGTACGTGTGCTCGTGTGCTGAATTTTGCGCTTAGTTGCAGGATTAGAAATTAAGTGTGTGGGATTCCGTTCCCCAAGCACCACAAGGGCTTCGTCGAACCGGGACTGTTTGATAAAGCAGTGAGCGGCCAGGTATCGACAAGAGGGGTTCCGGGAAATAAGGTCCTGTTTGGATAGGAAGGTCTGGGCTCTAGTATAGTTCCCAGTAGCGAAATGAACTTGCGCCAGCCAAAACGCGTCATTGTCGTCGTCTACAGGACAAGTTTAGCATGGACTTCGGACATAAACAACAAATATCAAACCCACTAGTTAATGCTAAAAGTTTGTCCCCAATGAAAATAGCAGACTCGTACTGTGCTTTATTTAAGGCGTCTTGCCTCCATTCTCGAAGGAAGCTTTCCATAATTTTGTAACTCTCTGGGCGGGCTCATAGATATTGAACGAAGTGAAGCTTGGTCCAAATCCTGCCCTGGGGTATTCTGGTGAGAAGGGAAGACGCGTTTAGGCCTTCCTACCGCGGAATAATATAGAAACCCTTAAGTACTATGATAGCACATTCAATTCAGCTTCATAGATTTTACGGTCGCGTTACTAAACGGAGTTGTAGACAATGGCTTTTTGATGTATTGTACGGTATCTTTTCTGTTCACGTGCATTTGACTTTTGGCGGTTAGATTCGACCTTCTAGCGCGTAGTGGGGCTTGCATTACAAAGGTACCTCACCTGAGAAAAGCTGGGCCAGCACTAATAACTCCACTAGTCCAATAGTGCTGGGTAGGGTAACCGCTCCTTCAGCTGCAAGGACAAATACTTTTGAGCCGCATTATATTTAACCTTACCTAACTTATAACTTTTGTCAACTAAATATTTACATTAGCTAGGCTTCCTTACTGCTTTGGGTACAAAATTCAGTTAATTATATTATATCTCAAAAGCGTAAAGCTATAATATAACATAAGATTCACCCTTGCTAAAGGTCATGAAAATGACTTCTTTGATATTGTATCAACTCTTATTATTATTCACCTATAGTTGAGAAACTCTTTAAGTGCCAAGTCGAATAACCTATTCCTTTCTATCGGTTTAGGAATACACTTGAGACTACCTTACTCTAGCACAATGTGCATCTAAAGGAATAACTTACTATAGGAGTCCGAGCTACGTCATAGCAGAACTCTAAATATAATGACAAGCAATAGCATAGGCGGTGGCTTCAACCATTAGTCTATATGATTATGTTAGGTCAGTTATGACAAGCTCGGTATAAAGAAAAACTGTGCTCACGTACTGTTCTCAGATGCCTACATGTAGCTTAGGCGTTCCCTATTAGAATAAAGCTATCACACAATAATACAAACTTGCAGTCTAGTCACCATGATAGTTATTATTGTTAAGCTCAAAGCTAATATATATATCTAAATGCTCTCGCTCCCAATATATTTTATCCGTCGCAATATAGCACAATAAATGCAAGAAAGGGGCTAATCGTACTCACCAGGACCAACCTTTCTACCCGAATACTTCGAGTTCTCTTTACCTAACACTAGTTACTTAACCGACTAAACAGACACTTCTCCCGCCGATATGCACCCCCTAACTTTCAGCGTCGAACTAGAAGCCGTATACTTCTTCAGCCTTCGCCCTATCGACATCTACAATGATCCACGCCTAGCCCCCGTGGTTGACATGTCGCCCCAAGGGAACCCGGGTTTTACAATACATAATTACAACCGCTGGGATGATATGAAAGCCGAGATGATACGCCGCGTATCGTTCGCGATCAAAAACTGTCTTTCCGAACTCCCCCAATCCTGCCGTGGCGAGGTTGTCTCCCTAGAAGGTGATCCCGTATCAAGTCAGTACCAAGAATGGAGGGTCGAATCCGGCAAGGCCACCGTAAAGCGAGACTCTAGACCCCGGCCAGAATACGAGGGTCTTTGGGAGATCGATCTAGAGGTCCAGTCACCGCTGATGTATGCCACCGAAGTCAGCTTCGAAGAAGTCGAGGCTGTCACCAACATGTTACGTGCTACTTTTCGAGCTGCAGTCCCGCCATATTGTGGAATGCGCGTATTCGTCGGCGCAGGATCCAACTCAGTCCCCTTGCCAACTTTTATAAAAATAGCTGCCATTTGCTGGGCTAGTGACCGGATCCTACAGAAAATGCATCCTATTTCGCGCCACTACGACAGATGGCGCAAAGGTCCGCGCGAAACGGCTCGAGTCGATCAAGGAGAAGAGGCGGAACAGGCAGAAGCTAGACCTGGTGAAAAGCAAAATATCCCCATACAAGAGTATATCAATAAAGCGCGGCCGAAAAGACTCTTAACTGAGTTCAAGCGCACGTTGCCGCGTAGCAGACTTAATATTATCCTCTCCCAAGAACGAAATATATACTTCAATACATACGAAGTTCACCGTCCCGATCAGCCATTGGAGCCTATTACCCGTCCCGATATCCTGCAAGGCGCCATACAACTCTTCAGCTGTCGCAGTCACGGCGCAGTCGCGAACCTAATAAATACCAACTCGCTCGGCGCATACAACTTCAACCACTACAGCGACGAAGAGACAGAAGAGAAAGATACCAAGGCAACAGTTGAATTCTGCACGGCAGCCGGTTCGCTAGACGGCCACTGGGTATCAACGCATGCCCGAATCTGTACTGGCATCGCACAATTTGTCGCCAGCGCCCCGGAGGAGAATGTGTGGCGGATGATTTACGAGTGCCACGGCGCGGAGATCGACAAGACCGGGTACGACGTTATCGATCTCCTATTAGATCTCGGCTTGGCGAAGGAGGCTGAAACCGTGCAGTACAGGTTAAAGATGGGCAGCTATTTTAGGGAGACGCTCCGATCATTCTTGACGAGTGAGGCTATAACTTACGAAGACGGTGTCGCAGACGGAAACCATGAAACAGACCAAGCCATGCGTTCGGGGCGGGCGCATTGAACGTACATATATGTTCAGTTTTGGCATTTTTGATACTTTAGTGTCGAACACCAATTGTTTGGATAAATATGGATCAATAGATTCGTACATGATATTTAGAGGAGAACAAATGCTCCTACATAATGCTAACATTCATGCCCAGGAATAGGATAATAAAAGAATCTCCTTCCCACGGAGATCTTTCTCTTTTAACGTTAGCAGCAGTAAGAACGGGGTCGCACAAGAGATTTACTATGTACGCTTCGTATGTCTCCGCGAATTACGAAGTAATATAACCCGTGCTGGGCGACTAAGCCATGGAGAGAAAAGGAGATATTTTACGACGTCGTTAATAATAACCAGCATGTAGGATTTGGGGCTGGGGTCGTATCCCGCACGTGCAAGCCAAGTATAGCAGCCTCGTTATTGGCGAGATTAGAGGCTCCCCTAGCTCCCTGGCGACGATTCTCTACACTTGTGGCGACTGCCAAGGGTTGGTGTGGTGCGTGACGTAAGTACAATTCAACCAAGCCCGTGCCGTCTTTGCCGACTGTTCGTGGGCTTTATTTATCGAGAAAAAAAAGGGGAAGATTGGCATTATGGAAACGGTAGAATTATCTGAAACTGGAAAACAGATCTAGGTAATAATAATAGAAGATATTGTCAGATTATTATATTTTCTTGTATAGAATCAGATTCCATAATATGAATAAATTACAAGAAAACCACTTACAGGATTGTAAAGTGAGTAGTTATTCTACTGTTTTGCTTTAACTATTCGTAGTCGCCGTCTGGTTACGATGCCGAATATTTATAGGTTAGTGGGCGCTTCCGTAGTCGCGTTGTCGTTAATAAGTACGTTTCCAGCGATACGAAAAGCCGTATATCAACAATTAGACTAATATATATAATTTTCATAGTCTTCTTCTTCATACAGACGGTCGACGTCGACGTCATGTACCAATGGCATCTCCTCGCCCATGGCAAGGGAAAGCCATCGCCTAATACCGTTATAGCGGGCGGAACGCCTTTGCGCATCATGTTCCTAGGCGCTTCGGTCACGCGCGGCGAAGAATCGGTGGGCAATAGAGGGTATCGGAAGCATCTTCGCGATGAGCTCACGTCACGGGGTAATCCGGTCAACTGCGTCGGCTTCAACCGGTTCGGCAACTTTCCCGACAACGACGTTGAAGGCTATAGTGCAAATCGGATCAGGCAGGTCCGCAAACACGCAGAGCAGTCGGTGCCATACTTGCAGCCGAACCTCGTGCTTATACAGGTCGGCACCAGCGATTGTTTCCAAAACGACGACACCGCCAACATCATGTCGCGAATGCGCGATCTGGTCGAGTATCTGCTAGAAGCCTCGCCGCGGGCTACGGTCATCATGTCGACCATCGTAACGACCCCAAGGATGGAGTTCGAGCCGTGTATGAAGAGCGCCAACGCCCAGATCCGGCAGGCAGCTACCGATCTGATCCGGGAGGGGAGGCCGGTGGCGCTGGCGGAAATGCATTACGACCAGGAACTCCCCCGCCGGCCCAGGCCCGAAGACATCGGCCACGACAAGATTCACCCTACCAGCTCGGGGTACTTCATGATGGCGGATATATTCATGGAGAAGATCCGCGAGGTCGAAGAGAAGGGTTTCTTAAAGTACCCTGTGGACAACGGCATCCCTGCCGACGGCGAGGCTAGCAGGGAGGTGGAGGATAAGTTGAAGGAAAAAGCGGAAAAGGAACATCCTCTGAAGAGCTAGACTTGAGGACGGCGGGTCCCTATGGGATGAAGATAACGGTGTTATTTCTGGTCATTTGCGATTTAATTCGGTTGGGCATGGAGCAAGGGTATTTCTGGGATTTCTCCGGGTCTGGGAACAAAGATGGATGATTATCATCCATTGCGGCTGTTTGTACCATAAGAGTACATAGGAAAAAGATACCCTAGATGCTGTCGTTTCACATAGAATTTGGGGAATAGAGGACCTTGGTTTGCGTGACAAATAGAATTCTGCGTTGCTGGTTTGCTACGCATTAATATCAAGATATGAATTGGACAATATAATCTTGGGTTTGGTGACTTGGTTCGAGGGATCCGAAAAGTTTGTTACTCTTGACGTTTGGAAACAGAATGGGAAGAGCCTTCGAGATGTAATTTGATACGTAATTATATCAGCTTGGTTATGTGTTAACATGGAAGGTGTGGTGCCTAAGAGATTGAACTAAATAGTTAACTCGAGGTAGAGTTTTTAGGTTTTCCCTTTGAATATAATCTGGATGGCCCCGCGAGTACCTAGTGGAAGAAGATATGCGGAGATAAAATCCATTCGGAAAATTAATACATATCGGATAGATGCATAAGCACTTCAATTGTCAAATAATAAAAGTATCAAACGCATTAACGGAAAGATCAACCCTGTCGAGTCTGTTCCTGCAGAAAGCCAAGACGGCCGGTCCATTCCGACTATTCAATGGTTCTTTCTATCTCTGCACGATCCGAGTTTAGATAAGGTTCACGACTAGCAAAGCTGCCGTCTGTAGGTAGATACATACGTCACCTGCCAGGTACAACGTAACAAAGAGATCGACAGGGTCCTCTAGCGTACCTTAATGTACCTACATGTAGGATCAATTGTATGTAAGGCAAGCAGGGGGTAACTACGTGTAACGCCGTTGCATACAAAACCGCTCGGAATGTTTGTGGAAAGGAAATCTATATTTGAAGTAACGATGCACGCTGCAGAAAATTAAGCTTATATTAACATGCGTGCATATCATGTCCACTATATTAATCTAGGTAACTAGGTTATTTAGGTACCTAATGTATCTGGTGTTGCACTGTAGATAATAATCGGCAAGATCTAGACCACGTGTTTATAAATGAGAAAAGAGCTGGTAACCTATGGCATTGTTTGCATTACGCAGATCTCTTTATATTATTAATAAGAATCAAAACGTGGTAGCATAATGTCGCCATTCTTTGCGGCTTACCGATCCGAATATGGGCTTTGATATGTTGCTCCTTTGTACTAAACTACTTCGACACTTGGGACTAGGGTCTCATGCAAGAAATATTATGGGTTTCTTTCATTAGGACTATAGACCTGTTAAGTACCTGGGTAGGTAGGTATGTAGTCGTTAGATTTATAGGTCAAGCATGTTACCATGTGAGGAGAAAGACTAATAATAAAAACCTCATCAAGTACTCCTTATCTAATTCTACCTTGAGAAAAAATTAAAAAAAATCCAAGTCGGCATTTCAGAAACGGCTACGATCCTTCCCATAACTATGTCACCTTCCTGTTCCTACCTCAGTGAGAGAAAAAAAGTTGTTCCGTTTGTAGCGAATATTGTAGTTGTAAAGACCGGGCATCCCCGAAGGGTACCTAACTAGGGTCTTTTGCTAGAGCACCTGCTGCACTTCTAGAACCACTTCTTGCCACAAAGGGTTGTATGCAGGTACAGACGTTGTGCGGACGTTGTACGGACGTTGTTAGGACGCTGATTGGGTACAATGGTGTGGTTGCCTCCTGTTGCTAGGTTGTATCGTAATAATCTACTTTAACTCGAGTGAATGTTTGTGACTCTAATGTCGGAAAGAGGGCAACAGCTCTTTTGTTCTGTAACAGAGGCATCTACGACGGAATCCCCTTGCCCGTCATAGATGTCTATATAAACATCTGCTTCTTCCAAGTGTAGAGTTGTTTTATTCAGTCAGAGATCCATCAGACTACTCATCCAACCCAGTCACTCCTTAATCCTCACTACAGTCTTTCTCTATTATTACTACCAATCACTATCATTGCCCAACATGCTCTTCAGCAAGACTCTCTCTCTCGTCGCCTCGGCCGTTGCCGTCTGTGCCTCGACCATTCCCGCCTCTGTCCAGGCCCGCGGCAGCATCTCCGTGACGCCTCACGACCGCTACTCGTCATCTGCAGGCGTACTTGGCTGCAAGATCGACACCAACCGCGTGGCATACTGGCCTTCCAACGTCGACTGCAATCACCTGTGCGTTAAGGTCTCCGCCAAAGGTCGCAGCGTACACCTCCTGAAGGTTGACACCTCGGGCGGTGCCCACGACATCTCCTACGATGCCTGGAACTACCTCGTCACCGGCAAATCAGCTCGCGATGCACCCACCATGGGTGGTGGCATCGACGCCACTTGGGAGAACGCCCCCCTATCCGACTGTGCCCATCTCATCAAAGAGCCCAAGGGCCGCCTTGCCCTCTCTGCCGCCAACGGCATGAACTTCTTCGGCACCTGCGGCAACACCAAGACCGCCCTGTACAACATCGCCAACCCGGTGTGCACCAGAGGCTACGACGAGGTGTGCACCCTTGCGGCCGGCGCCAACCAGGCCACCTGCCCACACACTCTCGGCTCTCTCAATGCTTTGACCTCTCAGCCCGTCTGGAACATTGACTACGGCACTGGCAAGCTATCACTTGCAGTTTAAGGGTCGACTATCTAAAGTCTAGACTCCTTGAGAATTTATCGCGATGGATTAAGGGGTTCACCACATGTAACCTGTTGTGATACGGGCAAAAAGATATAAACCAAAAATAAAAGGAGGCAACTGCACTTAGGCAGTTTGTGAGACAATTCTCTATATGAGATATTAGTTTAGAATGAATACCAGAACATAGCACTTACTAAATCAGATTTCGTGACTTGATTATGTGTAGTGTCCATAAGGGGCTAAGTGACTTATAATATGCCTACCACACTCGTATCTTATATGTACCTTAATATCAAGCGAGACTAAATTCTTAAACTATAGTTTGTATTTGATACCAAGCTACCTATCTGACCGTTGGACTACCTCCTATCCGAACCTTGTACCTATTTACCTTTTACAATGATGTACATGAAACATGAACGCACCAAACACCCCTTGCAATGCGAATAGCAGTCGTTGGAATAAAGGATCCAAATGCAGAAAGATTATAGCCCTCCTGATCCCCTAGTAGCAGAAAACGCATCAAAGTCCAAGCTGCCATGTCCATATTCCCCATTCATCCGTGTTCAGCGCGAGCTGTTCGTTATTTTGCGCCGTCGTTTGCTGTTACGTCCAATTACGTCCCTAGGGTCGTGCGGACCCTTCCTAATCTTACATCATATCAACTTCCCAAGTATGCTCGCTCTAAGCGACTTTTGCTTACTTCTTTACCTAAGTTGATGATGCCTCTAAACATCCGTACTAGACACCTGGCCAACGCAGGCGCAAGCCATCCACCCATCGACCGTATAGGACATCCGAAAGCTGTTTACAGTGCTCCATACCCGGCTGAGGGTCGCGGCCAGGGTATTTTGCCTGCAGTGCGACCTTCTCTGGGTCTTTCTCCCTCTTCTCAGGACTTCCAACACCGTTCACTGTCACACTCCCCTGTCGTCTTTTGTGACTCTTCAGATGAGGGTTGCTAGCCGCCAGGACAAGCTTTGTTGGACTTTGGTTTTGGCTGGTTGGTGTTTGACTCTTAATAACCACCGTACCCATACCCTGTGGTGTTGTGGGATCAAACCCCTTCATAGAACCCCCTGAATCCTGCTGCAAGAATGCATTCGACAATTTGGTGTCTTGCGAAATAGCAGAGTTCAAATTGCGCAAAAGATGGTAGGCACCTTCAGGATCAACCGAGTCTAATAGTGCAAGAGCGTCAGATAGCTTACCCAATGCCTCCCGCTTAGCCATACTCGATGTTTGGGCATGCAGCTCTGCGAGTGTAGGCTCGACCGCCTTAGAGTATAAGCGCCGTCCGAGCACAGCCTCCTTGCTGGTTGCTTCAACAGCACCAGGGCGCTTATTTTCATCCGAGAGTATGTGGATCGAGTCCGAGGAGGCTACCTGGCCAGATGTGGAAGTGTCGGAAGGCACTCTTCTGAAAAGACGTTGTGACGACCCCGAGTTACCGAACGACATATCTGGCTGGAGAGGACGTCTAATTGCAGGGGCTGGTGGACCACGTACAGACCCAGAATTAGAAATCTGTGCTAGAGAGGATTGTCTCCGCATTGTAGCCTTACGCATCGTGACCGGGGCTGGAGCTGGTGACGAAGGTTGCAATGGGGCATCCTTGAGGTCCATCCTACGCAATGCTTCTTCAGTAGAGAAGATTGAGGATGGTTTCCGAGACTTGACAGTTGGTTGCCTGGGAACGACGGACCTGACCGTGTCAAAGACCCATTCATCTTGATCGTCCTTTGGAGAGAAGTCTCGTAATGTTTCTTGATAGAATGCTCTGCTTCTCTTCTTGGTTTTCGTGGCATCGTACTTGCGTCGTCGCTCGATCAACTCCTGTAGCGCTTCCACTTTCCCCGAAGACCTAACAAATCGGTGCTTTAGCAGGTCCCTCGCTGACGGCCGGCGATCCGGGTCCTTCATGAGACACTGCGATACGAAGTCTCTGAAGTCTTTTGAGAAATTACCCTCTAGTCTAGGGGGTGGGTTCTTTGGAATATGAAACAAGGCTTTCATGGGGTGGAGATTAGCGTGGGGCGGTTCTCCGTTTGCCATTTCAATAGCCGTGATTCCCAAAGACCAGATGTCAGCTTTAAAGTCGTAGCCAGCTTGCTGAATGACTTCGGGCGCCATCCAAAAGGGTGTGCCAACAAAGGTATTACGTTGCGATTTAATGTTTGTAAGTTGAGCTGCAACACCAAAGTCGGCTAGCTTAACCTTGCCCGACTCTGAGAGGAGGATATTGGCAGCCTTGATATCTCTGTGAATCTTTCCCTCGGCATGGAGGTACTCTAGACCACGAAGTAGTTCGCGACATATTATGGCAATGTGCGTCTCACTAAAGACTGATGGTTCGGGTTTAAGCTAGGAAGAATGATAGGTCAGATCTAGAAACCGTGCGCAGCGTAACGAGATATAATTACCAGGTCAAGACAGGATCCACCTCCAAGGTATTCCATAACAATCCATAACTTGCTTCCCCGCAAGAAGCTAGCCTTGTACTGCGTTACGTATGAGCTAGCACAAGTACTCAAGACTGAGATCTCAGCCTGGATATCTTGGATATCATCATCGGTAGACTCAAGGTCAATCTGTGCGGCTCCAAATTAGCAGCTTGAACTAATGCGCCGGGGTTTGCGATCAGTGTGCCACTTACGTGCTTGATAGCAACAACTTCGCCCGTTGCTTTCTCAATACCCTTGTATACTATTCCAAAGCTACCACCTACATGAGATACAAGGTCAGCGCTCATTGTCCCTATTGCCAAATTGCGGCGTGGTTAGAACCGAGGTGAACACGTACGGCCAAGTTCCTCAAGGACTTGATAATGACTTGCGATAGCCTCGGACCCCATGTTGCCGACAGAGCTCCTGCTCTAGGGCTTCAATGCTTGTAACTTGTCTTATAGCTTGTAGAATTGTGAAATGTTGAAGCTAAGTTTACCGAAAGTAAATATCGAGACTCGCACTTAAAAGCGGTAGAGTAGCTAGAGACCGAGCAAAACAAGACCTAACACCAAACGGCGCAATGCGAAAGATGGGTTGCTATGTATTATACAAACAGCGAAAAGAGCGGCATGGAGATTCAAGTCTGGTTGCTAGGAAGAGCTGGGAAGAGCTGCGACAGCTGGCAATTAAACCAGCGCCAGGGAGGATCTTTGGTAGGAAGTGATAATAATCTGTGATAAGTGTTGGAGAAGCCGGTTGTCAGGGCACAAGGTTTAACAAAGCTCTAAAAAAGTAACAAGCTCTAAAAAGGAGCTATGGCCAACAACAGATTGCTGTTTTGGGGGTAGCGTGGAGCCTATTAGGGAGCTTTCCAGGTGTTATCCGTGTTATCCTGGCCGTTATCCGTGGTCATGTACTATGGATATGCCGAATCTAGGAAATTTAATAAGATTATCACTCCGTCAGATAGCCTTTACCGTTTGAACAACAGGGGGGGAAAACTCAACGGGTCTTTCTCCTGTAACTTCGTGATGTTTTTCATGGTGGCTATCCGAGAAAGATATCTAAAAAAGAAAAAAAAAGGGTAAAAAAGCGGAAAAGGATGCATATAGAAAGCACACAATAGACGCAGCTATCCTCTGGTGACTTACATTACATGCCAGGGCTTACATAGTACATTAGTGCCATCGACAGATACATGCATGTACTTGGTACATACCTAGGTACATTTAATGCGAACCAGGTCTGTCAGCTCTGCTAGGGTTATTCTGATTTGTGAATTGGGCAGGTATGGGGTAAACAAGGTGCATCTGTATCGGTACTTTAAGCCTTATGTGCGTGAGGTGTATCATATGTACATACATACATACATTGCTCCATGATTGTGCATGTTGTGGTTTCACATCATACCAACATTATTATGTACCTAATGTACGTACGTGTATATTTATTTAGCAGCAGCAAATGATTCATTAAGTTGAATTCGAAGTTATAATTATATTCTTCATACTATGAAGAAAATTTTAATAATTTTTGAATTTTCAATTTATTTAAATACCTATAAAAGATGGTGTTATTAATGCTCCGTTTGTAAATCTTGATTCTATGTTAATAAGGTCCTTAATGTACAATTGCATTACTCAAGACCTTGGATATTGTACATAGTGACGTATGTACTCGTACTTAATGTAAGTGCGGGAAGGAAACGCCCTGCGCCGCTAGATTTACGGGTCTCAAAGCTTAGTGGTTACCCGGCAACGATTACGAGACCCCTCTGTTTTCATTCGGTGGTTACGCCAAGGTAACTAACTGTAACCTGTTCCAATACCGCCCCGAGCTTCTAATATTGAACTTTAGTTATGTTCTAACACCCAGAACATCCCAATCACAATCCAGAGATCTGAATTGATGTGCTGGCATTCTCCAGAGTTTCCCGTTACTGCTTTTTACATACTACCTAACGTTTGCAACCTTCAACATCCCTACCGTTGACTCGTGCTTAGGGCTTAGTACGGCTTAATAGCCATAATAATACAGCGTATTATTGCTAGTATTATTGCTATTATTGCACCGTCTTGTTGATCCCTTTTGAGTCCCCACGAGCAACCACACCGCCTTGGATGCTATTGACTCTACCGACTTTCTCAACTGCGTATTCTGCGTATTTACTCCATCACCCTGCAGCAACCGCCGAATACGCCGCCAGGAATTCAGAATAAACTCAAATTCGCCGAGTTTGTCTGATTTACCTACGCCAACGCCACATCTTCAACCTGGCGAATAGACGATTACCAAGACTTCGAATATCGGCACAATGGGATCAGCACCGCCGCTACCCACGCGGTTTCCGTGCTGGTGTAGAGCCGTATATTCTTGGGGAGGAGAAGTATGCATTTGATTTTTTGTGATATCACGGCGACTTTGTTTACTTTGCTAACCTTCCTTTTAGTCGCAACACGACTTAGGATTTATTGAGGGAGACTTGATAGAATGTCTAAATGCGGGGGATGGATCATGGTGGACTGGCAGATTGCGGCGCAACAAGACTGTTGGCGTCTTCCCGTCCAACTTTGTCGAGGTATTACCTCAAGATTTCCGACCCATTACCAGGTCGGTGAGTCCATTGACAACAAGTAACACGCCGAGCCCTACGAATGCGCCGCAGAAATCCAAGTCGCGAATCTTTCGAAAGCCCTTTGAGGCCTACGCGAAAGCACCTCACTACACAACCGCGAAACAGCCCGAGATAATAAAGCAGCCCGAGGTAATAAGGAAGCTTTCTAACACACCGCCCCGAAAGAATTCGGCCAGTTCAGTTAGGAATAGTACGCGCCAGGCTATTCGGAATATCGAGCGCGATCCGTCACCATCTGAGCTTCGGCGGCACGAATCGAAAGCCCCATCGCCTGCGCCTCCCCCTCCTCAAGCTAGTTCATATATGCCCAGAGCCGCATCTCCTGCCCCCCCTATACATTCATACGGCTCCAGGGGTCCATCCCCAGTTCCGCCGCAGCCATACAACTATCAACGAGAACCCTCTCCCATCCCCCCCTCGCCGGTGCAACACTATGGATCGAGAGGACCATCGCCGGCCCCGTCATTTAGTTTTAAGCCGTACCGGCCTGGAGCAGAGCGCGACTCACCTCCGCCCCCTGCTCCACCGCCCCATCGTCACGTTATCGCTAGGGGAAATTCGACCGCGTCAAATGCGTCTTATGACAATCGACGTCTCCATGAAGGATATCATACACCGCGGGTCCCTTCCCCGAGTCCTCACTCCCCAATCGTTGACGGGTTTACCCCTTCGCCATTACGTGAAGCTATGGACGGCGTAATTGAGCAACTAGACGCATTGGGAATGGCACGCGAGGCGGAGTCACCTGAGCCGCCGTTAGACCCATGGTCTCCCGAGTCCTTCGACTTGGTCCATCATCGAACAAAGAAGAAAGGGCAACCAAGACCGCTAACATCCATTGGTGTGCCATTTCAAGATTCGGGGTACGGATCGTTTGACGGCGGTTCGCCTCAAGATAGTGCACATCACAGCAGCAGCTTTCCAGAGCAACCACTTCCGCAGATAAGCAATTATGTGGAAAGAATGGAGACACGTCTTCGCAAGATGCATCATAAAAGCTCGAGCGCAGGAATTCTTGATCATCGTGATCATGAAGAGGATACAGGCCCCCCACCCCCACCGCCGCCTAAGAACCCCCTATATAGCAGACCTAAGTCTTCGATAGGTGATCACTTCTTTGGAGACCGTAAATCCATCCGCAAACAGAAGTCGTTCTATGACATCGGACAGCAGTTGGATAGAACAGGGACGACAAAGACCAATTCGACAGATGCTTCTTCCGGCAACCGAAGTATAGTAACAAATAGCACGAACCGAAGTCTGATGAGTGGCGTGTCCGCAGGCGGAATTAGCGCTACGAGCGCTGGCAGTCTGGCTAGGAAGCAAAAACGAGCACGGAGCGCACTGGGATTCCGAGACGGCGACGACGAGGAAGATTGGGATGCGAATCGCCCAACCACGCCGTTCACCGGAGTGTCGTATCACCCAAGCCACTCTACATCAGCTTTGCGTCCCCGGTCACAGGTTGGCTTTAACGAAGACGGAATTGCGCCCATTGGGGGTCTCGTGCAGCCTGGAAGTGCTAAACCTAAGAAGCAAAATTTCATTAAGAGGATTCTAGAGGCAACAAAGACCGGTGTTGCCAGTGGTCGTAGTAGTATTGCGATGAGCCCGGGGTCTGGGCAGGTTTCGCCGTCTAAGCGCTCGATGGGTCTCGGGATATCAGCAATTACAGGAGCTAGTAGCACAAACCTATTGCGAGACCCAGCCACAGATATGGGGCTCAGGAATGATGGGGACTGGGTCCAAGTACGGAGAGATGTTAACCGATCGAATACGTTGAGCAAGAATGAGCGCAATGAGCGAAAAGATCGTTGCTTAATGTTGGATTACCCGGCGATAGATCCCGTCGATGAGCTTTATGGGAGCGTCGAAGGGGATGAAGGAGCTGATGGAATGCCGGTTCACGAACCCATCAATTATCAGGTCATAAATCTGAGCCAAGTCGATAAGAACTCTCGCTTCATCAGTAGTTTACCGCCGATGACGACAGCCGTGTCCCTCGCCACGACTTACGTATGCAGACCATACAAAAGTGACGTCCAACGTCTCCGGGCAATTTTCACTTGGGTCGCGGAGAATGTGAATTGGGAGGAAGATTTCGAAGGGGACGTAGATACGCGGCGAGTAATCCAGACAAGGCGAGCATGTCCCCAAGAATACGCTGTTCTCGTCCACGAGATGTGTACTGCGATTGGTATACACTCTGAAGTCGTCCGTGGCTACCTCAAGACTCCCGGCGAGGTCCCCGAAACGGCTATAATGCCTCGATCAAACCATTGGTGGAATGCCGTTATTATTGATAACGAATGGCGCATGATGGATTGTTGTCTTGCAAGTCCTACCAATTCCCGTCGGGGCTTATACTCAAGCGCTGGCAATTCGACCGCGGAGTTTTGGTGGTTCCTCACCCGTCCTGTCGAGCTTTGTTGGACACACATTCCCGAGCACCATAGCCAACAGCATATCTGCCCACCTGTAGCTCATGAAACATTACTCAACCTGCCCGGTGTCTGTCCTCCGTTCTTCAAACAGATGATATCTATGGTGGATTACAATACGTCGTTAACTCGTATCGAAGATCTCGAGATGGTACATATCAAGTTCAACGTGCCCCCTGATATCGAAGTGGCAGCCGAAGTCGAAACTAAGGGGTTCACACGAGACGCAGACGGCGACTTCTTCGAAAGCGGCGAAACAGTGAAGAAACGCGCACTTGCGCAAGCCGACTGGTACGGCGGCATAAAACGGTACACGGTAAAGGCGCTCCTACCAGGCGACGAGGGCAGCGGCATCTTGAAGGTGTACGCTGGCAAGCGCGGTCTTATGCATAGTATTAAAGACATCCCGCACCCTCTCGCTTTCGCCTTGCCGATTATTCACACAGGCGAAAATCCGCCTTACGAGTTTGTTACTCGCCACCCAACACCGCATGCGCAACGTCACGATATCTACGTTGCTCAGCCACAGTGTCAGCGGCTGGCACTCAACAATACCTTCGTCTTCGCCATCCGACAACACCCATCTAGTCCGGCAGGCGGACCGGGCAGCAACCCAGGAGGTACGAGCCCGGTGCCCTTCGCGCGGCCGGCCAGCGCCATGAGCATGACCAGCAGTAGTGCGGCGGGGTCGAATCCGAGCTCGGCTACGGGCAGCATCGCAGGCAAGAAGCCGGCTAAGCTAGCAATCCAGACACCTGGCGGCAAGATCCTGCGGCTCATGCGCAAAGAGGAGCGCGTCGGCAGGTCCGGGATCGGCGTGGGAGGCCGCAGCGCCGACGAGGAGGCCAGCGACGGCGGCACGTGGGAAACCATCATTAAGTGCTCCGAGCGCGGCGTCTGGCGCGGCCTGGTGCTCGCGGACCGGACAGCGCGATGGTGCGTGTTTGCCGAGTGGGTTTGCGTCTGATAAAGGGAAGACCGAAACGAAAGGAAACGAAACGAACAAGGGAAGAAGAAATGAAACTGAAACTGAAACTGTCCAACCAAACCCCAAATTCCGGGGTTCTACTGCTAATGTGCACGTGCTACTGTGGTACTAAGGATGGGGATACGAGGGCAAGGACCCCACGGAGGACCGGACTGGACTGGACTCAAGCTAGGCTAGGCTGCGCGCTGGTTGGTTTTATTAATGGCGGCCGGTGGCTTGTGTACTTGTGGCCGGGCAGTGGCGGTGGTGCAGTATATACCTACATACACGTCTGTCTGCATTTGCGTGGCGTTTTCGGTTTTAGGGCAAGGAGCACTGCGTTTTTTTATATTTGTTTTTCAAAAGGGAAACCATCGGATCACCTTTTTTTCTATAACACGTCATGTCTTTTTTGTTTTTTTCTTGCGTCTAGCACGGCCGGCATGGATATGATTTTGATCATGTTTTTTTCACTTTGCACTTTACCTTCTCACGCGAAGGCAAGATTTTTTTTTTTTTTTTCACTTGGCAGCATAAGGCACGATTTGACGGGCAGATTTGCCACAAGACAAGACAAGACGAGACGAGAAGAGACGTTGGTTGATATCAATCACATATCAAATACCATGCATGTATGTTGACGTTCAATGTATAGTTGTAATGCGGATTGCTGTGCGTTATGCGCGGCGAACGCTATGTATTCAAGAAAATTGGTTTTGCTGCTGCTATGGACTTCGTATCTTAGTGAATAGTGACTTTCGTTTGATTAAGCTTAGCTTATTGTGAATGTTCCGGTGATTGATCGTATATGTTGTATTAATGTCCTACAGTTACCTAACTCTAAATCAACGCATGCGAAGCAAGAGAGAAATTAAGCTATAAATTTGAAGAGAGTTTGAGAATAGATGCTAGGAACTAGCTAATTATTGCTGTCAATGTTGAAGTTTAGACAGCCGCACCATTTGCCTCGGCACAGCCGTTAGTACATATGAAAGGATTCGGCAGCGCCGAGAAGAGTCTAGAATGATTTCCTACCCCTTGTCTAGCTTACGGCATGCGACCAAAAAAAAGAAAAGAAGCTAGCAGTGACAGATGACAAGGGTAAACGCTATTTACTATTTACTTTGCATGACGCAATTGAGACGTGCGGTAGATCTTAGAAGTGGTCGGCGAGAAAAGACACATACATAACCTACTGCATTCGACAAGATTGCTACTTGGAGATGGTTGAGAGACGATGAATTGAATAATTGATCCTTACACCCTTACTATGGCTATCGATAGCTTCGCATACGCGCGGGACCAATCAGTCTGTCGCGGTAGAGTTTTTATCAGGATAGGGTTAATAGACCGAGTCGGACCGTCTCCGCTACCAAAGTACCTCTTAAATCGTCTGATGCCAGGTCCAGGTTATGATTACATAGGTTAGGTTAGGTACCTTCCTATGTATATATGTACATAGGACATAATAGATCTACCTAGATTTAGTTAGTTGGCCATTTAATTATTCCCAATACCTAAACAGGCACCTATGTACATAGGTAAATAAAAACACGCAATTGACCACGATCATATCAATCAATCAATCAATCAAGTCACGCTCTCAACAGATATTTTTTCTCTAATCCGTATGTACAAATTGTCTTTTTGCCCCTGACCTCGAAATCTGACATAAGCATAAACAGTAGGCAGGTAGGTTTGGTTAGGTTAGGTACACCGTACCACGGACCAGGCCTTCTAGAACCGAACAGGCCTCAGGAGATTGAGCGCGGTGCACGTACATATGTAAAATAAACATGTGCTAGCTCAACTCTCCCCTCTGACCAATGACCAAGCGCGAAAACCCATGGGCGCGGAGCCGCATTTGTCAAGGGGCCCCGTCGAGCCAACGACAAAACGGCCGACGCTATCGCCGCGGCTCCACAATGAAGCCGAGTGTACCGAGTTAGGACCAGATGCTGGCTCTTCTTTTTTTTTTTTTTTCCCTTTCTCCTGCCGTGTTTACTATGTATGTGTGTATGTGTGTATGTCGGCCGTACTCGAGGGTTGGATAGATAATACCAATAGAAGAGAATGGCCCATTTCGCGTGGATACAGAGAGTGGTATTCTTGGTTATATTGATGTCCTTCCGTACTTTCACACCGCGCCGACCGGTGTGAAGTAAAAGAAGGGGGCCTTTCTGGGGTAAGGGGCGATGGTGGGAAGAGTGCATCTCTCGGCCAATGGGCGGTGGAGTTCTCGTCATCTCCTTGGATTCTGGAAGTTTGACGATGGAGATCGTAAGTGCTAGTAGCTACCAAGTATGGGGAAGAGGCAAAAAAGACCTTTTTTTTTGTTTGGTTTCTTTTTCTTTCCTGCCACATGGTTCTTTCACCCCGGGGCTTCATCCGTAGTACGGGGACTAGGTCGGGGTTGGGTGCTGCACTCCGCCTTGCTTTCTCCGCTTGCTTTCGATCCTAATACGAGCCTATTAGACCGAGTTCGCGCTGGATCTGCCATGGCGGACGTGACCAATCTTTCGACATTAACCATGGCAGGATTGCATCCCCGAGTTCCCCATGGGATAGTGGTGTATGGATTAGGCCGAGAACATGGCACGTGCGTGCCAGGAAGCGAGTCCTCCTAAAATGTTTACGGTGTAAACTATTTTCCTGCTTGTTTTGTCAATCGCTGAGGACCAGCGTTGCTCGAATATACGGGGAATAGATAAAAAGGTAAATTTGGTTTGCAACGCAAGGACGGCTATGACAACTCTTTATCAATAACTGGTGAATTGAAGCAGAGAGTAAGTAACATCCTGTGTGGGGGTCAGAATACCGCCGTGGGATTCATGACGCGTGTAACAAAGCTCGGGACGAATGGACGAATGCAACCTACCTCCCAAACTTTGGCACCTCGCCATGTTCCAGAGTTCCAGAAACGTAAATCCACTTAAACTAAAGACGGAGCTAGTTCTAGCTAGGTTTACAAGGCCGTGACCCCGAGGGGGATATCTTCTGGGGGGTCTGGAGTGCTCTGGGCATTTTGCGGGTTGTCCTCGTGCTTGGGACGTGGAGACGCTTGCTGTCTGTTCATCTCGTCTGGGGAGTGGAGGTGGGGTCTTCAGGAGAAAGCTTGGACGGAGAGAGATCTAGGTTAGGTTAATTAACTGTGCCGTGGTCCTGGGTAAGATCATAGACACACACACACACACACACACACACAACACGCATTTAAGAAGATCTAACTCCCCTTGATGTATCACATCTCCTTCTCTCTCTCTCACACGCTTCCTTGTCGCTCATCCTTCACTTCTTCTTCTTCCTTTCTTTACTACCCACCACCCCTCCCCGACCTCATCTGCTTAGCATATAGCAACAATTCCCCCGGTGCTTAGTAGACCATCATCGTATTGCTAAGCTACCTTACGACAAGCAAATCGACCTCTCATAATTAACCAACCCGACGTCGACGACTTTAAGTCTCGTTCGCGATGGCGGGAGGTGCCGTGGTCCAGGGGTCCACCGACCCTAACCGGGTCGAGGCTCCGGTTACACTCAAGGCCTACCTCATGTGTGCCTTTGCCGCCTTCGGTGGTATCTTCTTCGGATACGACAGCGGTTATATCAACGGTGTCATGGCAATGCCTTATTTCATCAACCAAATCGAGGGTCCCGGTGCTACTGAACTCAGTGGTGACCACAAGTCTCTCATCACTTCGATCCTGTCTGCTGGTACTTTCTTCGGTAAGTGACTAAGGCTATTCCTTGTTCTATAATATATATATATGTATATGTATAAGAATTTAATCCGCTGACTACTATATTAGGTGCTCTTATTGCTGGTGATCTTGCCGATTGGTATGGTCGACGTACTACTATTATCGGCGGCTGTATCATTTTCCTTGTCGGTGTTGCTCTCCAGACTGCCTCGGCTGGCTTAGCTCTTATTGTGGCGGGTCGTGTTGTTGCTGGTTTCGGTGTTGGTGCCGTTTCTGCAATTCTGATCCTGTACATGTCTGAGATTGCCCCTCGCAAAATCCGTGGTGCCCTCGTCTCGGGTTATCAGTTCTGCGTGACCATCGGTCTGCTATTAGCATCGGCCGTCGACTACGGTACTCAAAACCGAAACGACAGTGGATCTTACCGCATTCCCATCGCTCTCCAGATGCTTTGGGCTCTCATCCTCGGCATCGGCCTCTTCGTCCTCCCGGAATCCCCTCGATACTTTGTGAAGAAGGGCCAGCTTGACAGGGCTGCCACGGTACTTGGGCGCCTACGCGGTCACTCCGTCGAGAGCGAGTACATCCAGGACGAACTTGCTGAGATCATCGCGAACCATGAGTATGAGATGTCGGTTTCCCCTGAGGGAGGATACTGGAGCACCTGGACGACCTGCTTCCGCGGATCCTTATTCAAGAGCAGCAGCAACCTTAGGAGAACTATACTAGGAACTTCTCTGCAGATGATGCAACAATGGACCGGCGTTAATTTTGTCTTCTATTACGGAACTCAATTTTTCAAACAACTCGGTACCATTCAGAACCCATTCTTAATCTCCCTCATCACCACACTCGTCAACGTCTGCTCGACCCCTATCTCGTTCTGGAGCATGGAAAGGGTCGGTCGCCGACCTCTACTCATTTGGGGTGCCCTTGGAATGGTTATCTGCCAGTTTATCGTTGCCATTCTGGGCACAGTTACCCAAGCCGACGCCGCTGTTAAGACTATGATTGCTTTCATCTGCATCTATATCTTCTTCTTCGCCAGCACTTGGGGCCCGTAAGTTCATCCCCCTACCCTCTTGACTTTTATTCCATTTGATCAGGTAGACGCTAACATCTGTCTAGTGGAGCTTGGGTTGTCATCGGCGAGATCTACCCGCTACCCATGCGTGCCCGTGGTGTCACCCTCTCCACCGCCAGCAACTGGCTGTGGAACTGCATCATCGCCGTCATCACCCCTTACATGGTAGACGCGGACAAGGGCAACCTTGGTCCCAAGGTGTTCTATGTCTGGGGCGGTCTCTGCACTCTCTGCTTCGTCTACGCCTACTTCCTGGTTCCCGAGACCAAGGGCTTGACCCTAGAGCAGGTGGACCGCATGTTGGAGGAGACCACGCCCAGGACATCGGCCAAGTGGGTGCCTCACTCTACGTACGCTGCCGACATGGGCTTCACCGACAAGGTCGCCGTGTCCAACGTCGAGCATGCCACCAAGGAGGAAGTTTGAGCGTCAAGTAATGAGACAATGGCATAAAGCGGCACGAGGGGGTGCTCTGGGTATGAGTATTTTACATGATCACTTTGACATCCGCATTAGCGTATCGTATATTTAGTATTAGCAAAACATGATAATTCCAAACAAAGCATTGAGCGATTTAATCCTTACCAGTCTTGAGTGAAGCAACACGAATGCGCAATGATCTATACTGGGCCTTTATCAAACATTGCCCTTTGCGTCCTTCTAACTTTTCCGATGTCCCCTCTCAATGACCATAGAACCGTAGGGGTACCTTCTTAAATGTGCTAGTATAGTTTGCCTTCTAACATACTTGAATCCAAGTTGCTATTAGGTTCTCAACTTAGTATTCAAGAGTTCAGCTCTGGTATCAAACTAGGAGATAACGATGGGATAGTCCTCCGTACTGTATTGAAGCTCTACCCCTGAGATAAACATCCGTGAGACTTGTTGGGCCAACTAGACACATCCCACGCCTAAATAGTAACAACCGTAGACTCATACACTCCAATTGACCTTAATATCGATTGGATTTTACGTATACATACAGCTCTCAGCGTTAACTGCATCTCGACGTGTATTGTGACGCACACTACTTGAGAGCATAGAAATATGATTACACTTGGGCAGTAGACTCACGATGGGGTCAGTGAGTAGACCCTATTTACCCCGGAATATAGGTTTGTTTTCCTTAGCGTATTCTGTATCAAATATTTGCTATGTAATTACGAGTTAGTGAGCTTACCGAAAGGTGCTTCCGGATTCGACGTAAGCCGATGCGTAAACCACTCCACATACTCTCCTCGTCGAAATACATACAGAAACTAGAGATTGTAAGTTTACAAGGCCCTGAGTGCCCATACATTTAGCACTTCAGACTGGACATAGGTTACCCGGAATCTGCCTAGGCGCTTTTTATTCTACTATCTCAAGCCGATAGACCATCTGGTTAGAGTTTATATCGATGTCTCTTTCCATGAGATGATTCGCTGGAACTATTAGTCCTAAGCCCTAAAGCTTATTCAATCACTCGTCTGGCGTCAACGGTTGTGCTGGTTAAATTCCTTGAGAAGTCAGTACATGCTTGTCCTGAGCTAAGTGTTAGCATGTAGAATCTGTATTGAGAACCCTTACTAGCCGAGCAAGTCTAAGTATCGAAACCCTCGTGGCCACTTCAATTAACCCGCATGACGAAGATGTCATGAGGCATTCGGAAGAAAGGGCTTGGCGGTGGCAGTTGAAAGGTAGCGAAAAAGTTTTCTAGAACGTGGGGGCGGCCTGCGAGACGCATCGGTCCTTCTATCGACGGCTGGAGTCCAACTCCAGCGTTCCATTCCCGCGCGATGTGTGGCATGTATGGCCTCATCACCACCATACATCTACCATGTAGCAAGGGCGGTCAGACAGACTTACCGATAGCCGCGCTTGGATAAGTTACACAAGTTTCTCGGGAGGTAAGGCGTTGCATCCACACGCCCGCAGGCTGTCAACAACGGTCAAGCTAGTCCCGCAAAGGCCAGAGGTTTGTGAAGCTTAAGTTCCGCGAGCGAATAGGTGTCGTGACATCTTGACCAGTAGGAATGCAGTATTCTCAGACATCGAAGATAGAAGAAACTAGGGGCCGCACAGAGTTCCCTAGAAACATCATATCACAGGGCTGGCCCGGTGGCTATACCTTTCCTCTTGGAGAAGACCCCGTATTAGCCGGTAGTAGACTCCAGTTGAACCTTGTCCGGTATTTCCCAAAGCGACTGGAGCTAACGGGACAGCTACCGTCGGTAGCGAATGATCGAGCATCTTTAGACTTTACCCATCTAGGTATTAGAAGTGTAAACCAAGTGCCATACAATGTGTGATATCGGGGACTATGATCAGGTATTTCACCCATAACTCTTGGCGTTGAGTTAGGCGGAAAATGAACACGGCATAGGAACAAGCCTCTCATTTGATTTAAAATATTACTAGTTCTTCGTCGATTAAAACTTGTCCAAAAAGTAATCGCATATCATGGTAAATATTCGTACCTATATAAGATATTTATGCAGTAGTTAATCTTATCCCGAAAGTTGGCTCGCCGGGGACCGAAGTTAGTCAGTACCAAGGCCACGGAGGACAGCTATTTGACTTCCGAGACTGGGATACAGAGACGGAGCGAATACACCCTGTCTATAGGATAGAACATGGCATTTTGTCTGTACACGAAGGCTCTGGAGCGGCCTAATGCTGGCTAAGGGAAATATACCGTGAATAATAACCTCCCCATTTGGGACGGATACTGCCTTGATCGTCCACGTGCCGTAAATTCATGTAGCAAAATAGCTTTAGCTTATGCAACGAGATGGGAAGGACAAAATATCGTGCTGTTATGGGCTATACCATATCGATTAAGGCGAGCATGCCGGCCAGAGTAATAGAGGTGGAAATATTGGTGAGATCTATCATCATCTCTGTGTAGGCTGATATTCCCGTGCTGGACAGTTTCACTGGGAAATTCCGTCGTAATGCTCGGTGTGATGGGAATCCCTAGGTAAAGCATTTACTTAGCGGTAGTTACATTACAAGTTCTAAGAGATCTTCAACTATAGCCCTCGGGATTCAGTCAACGGGAAATCCGTACTAGCCGACAGGCGAATGTCTTTGATTTGTTGCTTAAGAAATAACCGTAATTGAGTACCTCGATTTAGCGTGTAAATGTTCCACTGTTGGAGTTCATGAGGTAGATGGATCTCATCACAAGATGCCCACTGGTCGGCTAATGGAAAGTTTATATCGTTAAGAAATCATGTATGAGTTCGTATGATGACAACTAGATATGAGAGTCCTTAGACATGGCGTGCTAGAAGTATTCTTGCTCGGCAATTTTCAACCATGCCGGCGATCTGTTGAGGCTGTCCGTTCACTAAGCGTGCTTACTAGTGTTCAGCCGTGTTGCTACGTGTAAGTGATATTCACAGTGAGCATCGTAGCAGGCTAGATGACACGCAAGCAAGTAGTGCGTATTGCACCTGAACGCTGTTAGTCTATCCCGTTGTGAGGGAGCAGATACAGAGTACATAGGTAGGTAGACACTTAGACTACACTATCAAGCGACGAATTCGCAAGCTAGAGTTGCAATGTGGCTTGGGCCACTCCCACTTGACCGTTGGGGTCTCGGATATGCTTCACGTAGTCTGTTGATTGGGAGAGAGGAAGTAGACGTGTTACTGCGAGGGTTATCCATACGTACCCAGCCTAGGTAGTGAGGAGACAAGGGGATAAAAACGCCGAGAAGTCAGAATCTAAATTCTACCTGCAGTGCAATCCGGTGCAATCTCCATGGCAGGCGTTTGGCTGAGCATAAGCCTGCCCAATCGGCACGTTCCTTGAGACGTCCTTTGAAAGTCCAAGTTCGACCTTACGATGTGGCGTAAGCAACAGGGTGGTGCCAAGGATCCGCCTTGCAGATCGGCGTTGATATATGTCCAGTACTTCATCGACCATACATATGAAGAGCCAGGGTTGATTGTTATAACCTAGATCATTTCTGATATCTAGTCTCGAACAGCCAAGATAGCGAGCGCTATGAAACGGTAGAGAGAAGTTTGGGATATTAAAGTGGTAGGGAGTCCACATGTTGGATATTAACATATATGCTAGAGAGGCGACGAAAAAAATGATAGAGCGAGATTGAGGTGTAGAGAGCTGGCGCACGTGGCTTGGAGTTTCGGACAACCGTCATGCTGTATGTATTTAAGCTTGTCTTAGGTAGCTACATAACGTAAACCGTAGCAAGAAGTCTTCCAGCTAGGTAAAGTCGGTTCCCGTCCTCCATAGTTCATTCCTTGATCTCGGGGTCCGGTCACCAGCTGGAACTTAGAACTCCGGGACGGCTTCCTGCATAGTCTTATCCATAATTTTCGAGACCCAATATTGTAGTCTCAGAAGCGTGGATACTACTCAGGCATAGGTTAGGGTGAAAATGAGGTGGCTTTTTTTGTACAACGAAGAACCTTGATCGTGACGAAGCGTGCCATTGAGAGACCCTGAGCAATGACATCTCACTCCTCGTTAATATGGATGTTACAGGAGACGAGCAGTACCTTACCTACCCAAGGTAATTACGGGGGAATCGTCCGTGAGGAGAGTTATGGAGAAGAGGATCCATTATGTTGCATGAGTGCGGAAGCTCATACGGACGAAAACATTATGTAGGAAGTGAAGAAGTGAAGAAGTGTAAAAGAGGTATTAGAAAGGGAAGCACTTCTTTCCCTGACATGCCCTGGTCCTGACATCACCGTAAGAGAGCTAGGTACCCCTGGGTAAAGCCTTATCGATACGGCGCTGTTCCTTCCCTGTCTTGTTACGGTTACGGCGTACAGCTTGCATTTCCACCGCGAAGGGATGGAAACACACGGAGAAACCACGACCTTAGGTTAATAAGAAAAGAGACGCACATAGAAATGTTAAGGTATATATGTATGTATTCATCACAAGGTACTAAGGTAGGTACTCATGATATCTGAATGCTAAGTGCATATAATAGAACCAAATGTTATGAGCGTGCGTATTCGTTTTACTATAGAGATTTACTGGAGGTATTGTCGCATTTCAGCTCAGCCCTACAACTAACGACCGTTAACTTTGGACCTTGCATAGTGGTATTGAATAATAAGAATTAATTACAGAATATATTATCTAGATTGACGAGTATTCTAGTTGGGGGTTGTCAACCCGGGGTCTAACACCCCCTAGTTTATATAAGCAAGGTACCTATACATATGTATGTTCAATTAGACTATACCTTCCCAGGACTACAGCTCTGGGTGTTGTTTCCTTGGATATTTACCTAATGTATGTACAATTATACTGCGTAACAGACGGAAGTAACGTGTACATAGCATGCAAGACGCTCTAACTTGGATTAGGGTTTGTTTTGTACACGGCTACATCCTACAAATAGTATGTACCTGCATACGGTAAGGAGCATACCCATAGGTACCAATAATGTAGTTCATAGCTCCCGACTTAGAGCTCAAATCTAAAATCGATCTTATAACCAACCTAAAAATACGCCTCATCTCGCGCGGCTATCCAAGATATATCCAATTGATGCACGTAATGCTACGCCTACGTAATGCACCTTGTTGCGCGTCAACTCAGCTAA